ACAGTATTCTAGACGGAAACTTTATAAAAACTTGCTCATCAGATATTGATTATATTTCAGGGGATTTTTCTAAACTTTGCTTTATTTCTCGCTACTATCCAGATCACCGATTAGTACTGTAATGTGTGACGGTTTTTCTCTACCTTTTGAGAAAATACGCTTACGAATGGCGTCCACACGGTTGGTTACACGGGCGACATAATATTTAAAGTGTTTCACTCCATTAAGTCTTAAAAACGCGTTAAAAGTACACGGGAATCTTCAGATGGAGACGCTGTTTTTAGACTGTTTAAACTGAGGGTACAAACAACAGGCTTTAATCGTTATTTGTGTGAAAGAAAGGCTAAAAAAACTAGAAAGCAGATAATAATAAAAAAAGTAGCAGATACGTTTTAATAATCGTAATAATATGTCAGTTGATTTAATGTCATTTATTTTAACGCCTTTTCTTCTCGAAATAATGAAAGACAGGCACTTTTCGGACAATCACAGGTTGATGTAAGAATCTATAGAACACATCCTGCCAAAGACTCGTACAAACTTGCACAAGGTAACAGAGTGGGTACTATAAATTACTATGGATCCAATATAATAGACCATTAGACTTCGGTGTTGTCGGAGACTAAGTCTAAGACTAATTTTTATTAATTTATCACGGTTCAGTCTCTACAGAAACAAAGTTTAATGTCAACCAGAATAACATGTAAATACCTGAAATGAACTGGTTTATGGTCCCAAAAAAGTCATTCAAGGAAATGAATGCTATTTCATCAACGTTAGTTTATCGTATTGTGTCACGGTTTAATCTTTACAAAAACACAACCAGGATAACAGGTAAATACCTGAAGTGAAGTGGTTTGCGGTCCTAAAAAAGTAATTCAAGGAAATAAATGCTATTTAATTTAATAAACGTTAGTTTGTACTGTTGTGTCATGATGCAATCTTTACCAAGAACAAAATTTAATGAAAATCGAGATAACATGTAAATACCTAAAATTAAGTGGCCTGCGGTCCCAACCAAGAAAAAGAAAGTTGCCAGAAAAGTTTTAATTAAAGTAAGTGTTTAAATTGCGATCCATTTACTTCCAAAAAGTAATAAAACCTTTGTTTAATACTGTTCCGAATATTTTGTAGCATTGCCGGGGTTATTTCACGACATGCCACAGTTATCCGGTGGCGAAGATCTTCTAAAGAGTTCGGTTGCGTTTTGTAAATAACCCCATAAGAAGAAGTCCAACGTTGTTAGATCTGGCGATCTTCAGGGCCATTCAATAGAACCTCTTTTACCAATCCAATGTGCGGGAAACTGTTGATGTAAAAAGTCACGTACAGGAGCAGCATAGGGTGGTGGAGCGCCATCCTGTTGAAAAAAAAATCATTCTCTGAAATTTGATCATCGTGATCATTATTTTTAAAAACCCCAGTCCATACATTAAATTTTTAGGAATTCTGTGTATGTTGTTCTCTCATAATTGCAAAATTTGCATCACTCCAGTATCTGCAATTATGTGTTCACGTGACCATTACGAAACAATGTACATTCGTCTGAAAAGCACGTTGAAATAAAAAGTGGAACTTTAGGCTGGCTCACGAGCTAGAAGATGTCTATCATTTATCATCTTAGGAGGGGTCCAGTGAGGCCTGAGTAACGTGGGAGTAACCCAACCTTCACATTTTACAGATACAGAAAAAGTGGGGATTGTCCACAATTCTTCTAGTCATCTCCTCACAAAATTAGATACGGCGATCTGGATTGTCTTCGTTGAGTTCTTGCACGAGATGAATCTTATGAGGATAAAATGTATGCTATTTTAAGACCTTCTGAAGGCTTCTACGTGAAATTCCTGTAGCAGCTGCTATTTGTCTCGTGCTTAAAATGGGATCCAATGCAACGTGTCCCAAAAGTGTAACCTGTGTAGCCTCGTTAGTAACAGGGTGTTGTCTTTCATGTTTTCTGTTAGAAACGTTTCCAGTCTCCATGAATTTAGACAATAAATTTATCACAGAGATGTCTTACATTCTTACTGGGATGCCGTTAATTAAAAACTCTTGGAGCTGCCCGAGCAGACTCGTTGTTTCTAAAATAGTGTGCAACAATTTCAATTCTCTATGCAGTGGTGTAAAACCAAAGAGTACAAAATATAACTATAAAAGAGGAGTCACTCGCCCAATTACCGCCTTCTAACGCGATCAGCCGCCAGTCCTCCACAGTCCTTTCTCGATCGGCAGTATACCGGTGTAGTTCAACGCGTAAGGCTCGTTTGCTCCACTACGTTAGATTTCGCTGTGTATTGGCCGTTACATTCCACTATCATCGCCGCCGCGTCTTACCGCTTAACCCCGGTATAGCCCAATTAGCTCTGTACTCTTAAAAAAACGCCGACTTGTCGGCCCGCATTTGAAGTGCGATTTCCTTTGTAAATGCCGCGAGTGACTTCTCTTTTATAGTTATATTTTGTACTCTTTGGTAAAACATGATAATTAGGTTCATTTACTTTCAAATATCAAATGAAATTTTACTAAAATTAAACTAGGTACCCGTAAAATTCTACTAAAAACCATTATCTTATCTCGTTAAATGCTGATAAATATATTTTTTGTTATTTCAGTATTTAGTTACCTATTAATTGCAGCTTTTTATTCAGATTTCTTTAAAGACCTTTAGACCAAGAATTTCCAAAAATATTTAATATAAAAATGTAATTTTCAACCAAATTAAAGATAAAGGTCTTACTTAGGTAGTCTTACTATTTTAAATTGACGAATAATTCATTTTCAATTAAAAGAATAATTTTAAAATAAAAAAAAACTGTTAAATATCTCCATGGAAATGAAAAAATGGTGTTATTTTAAAATTACGGTTTTTATTGAAAACCTTCAATTTAACAATTTAAAATAGTAAGACTATATAGTTAGGCCTTTATCTCTAGTTGGGATGAAAATTCAATTTTTTAATGCCCTACTTTCGGAAATTGGTCGATTTAACTTTTGATCTTAATTTTAACATTTAACATAAAAGTGTTAGCATTTCTGTAAAGAAAATCGAAATACAAATGATGTGCCACTCAACCCCTCATACCGTTAAAGATCCTCGAAGAGGTTGCCACCCTTTTTAGAGGGATGACCGTAAAACCATGAGTTAACGATCAAAAGTTGTCCCCCTCGATAACAAAATTGACGTGTCTCAGGGTTTGTCGCAAAAACCTTCCTCGCCAATAATATTTGAGGTGCACTATTTCTAATACGCCACCCTGTATATATAAAGCATCCTCAAAGTGCCTTTCCTTTAAAACCTTTTGTAAAAAAGAACCGTTTCATAGTTTTCCCTACTTTTTCCAACCAGGCCACTTTGTACTTTTATTGACTGCTCTAGTTTTTCAGCGTAACAGTATTACCGACTAATTGTATACTTGATTGAAATATTTTCCTGTCTGTGCGCTACCAATGAACCGTAAAACGAACAAAAAAAGTAAAAAAAAACGGAGGACGTCGATGTTGTCATCGCAAAACCTATAATGAAAACTCCTTCGAAATAAAATTAGGTTAGGAAATGTCGAGTTGAAATGCGGCACCGGCGGTTGAGCGTTCGGTTCCTTTCTCGGTGTTTAGAGAAAATTGCTCTCCTCTTTCTGCCACAAATCAATCCGGAGGACAGGTAAGCATTCGATTAATCTATTTACTACTTCAATGAAGTTCCGGCAATCGAGCAGAGACGGATTTCGACGTGTCGTTGGAGTTGTAAGTACAAAAGAACTTCGATTGGAGTTGAAGCTGATTTAAGCGCGTACGAAACTTTTCGAGAAAGTTGCCGAGGAAATGAAGTTTTTACTTTGACGAAAAGCGATCTTTATTAAGGGCGCGATTACCACAATAATGGCGGAAAAATAGCACATGATAAAATGTCGTACACTGCGAAAAGAACTTAAAAGATATATTTTCAATAGGTATTGTTAGTATGACTGTTTTAATCAGTGGCGACTCGTGGTAATTTTAAAAAGGTGCTCACTTTTTCCAATAATTTTATCGTTTGTAAGTTCGGTTCAAAACTTCGTACAAGTGCCAATGTCGATGTTTTTTTATTTGAGTAGTTATTATTATCATCAATATCTTACTGTTTGCAAGCACTACAACTATATTTTTTGTTTGTCATCGGCTTCAACTACTATGGTTATTTCGGCTCGTGTTCTGCATAGATTTTGTTAGAAACAGCACTGTTAATTAGGACCCAACAATGAATGGTCGAGTGGAGAATACCACCAAGGCATCATTTTATATAATTAAATTAAATGAAAAACTCCCTGCCAACAGCGGCATTCGGACCCGGGACCCTTGGATCCACAGGCAGAGACTCTACCACTAAGCCACTACCACTGAGCCACTACAACTATTAATGATGATTTTAGTTATTGTAATATTTGTTTTGTTTTTAATACGTTGAAAACCATTTATAAAGATTATTAGTTATAGTCAGCTGACTTTACTTTATGTTTTGAGATTATTTTTAAGTATATATTAGGTTATGTACAAAGCTTGACATTGTTTTTTGTGTAAAACATATTATATGAAACTTTACCTACACTTTTCGGTTTTTATTGTAAATTTAATAATTTTCACAATTTATCACGCATGTCAAATAAAATAATATGTTTTAAATATTTTTTATTGGTAAATAAATAAACCATTAGTGTAAGTAAAACTGATAAATTTGTTTGTGTTTAAAAGTGCTCTCCAAAATTACTTAAATTTGCTGGTACAAAAGTCAATTTAATTAGTGAAAATTATACCAAAGCATAGATAAAAAAATTCTTAATCAGGTGATACTTAAAACGACTATAGATCTTTAGTCTGGTGTAAGTAATTAGTAAAAATATAATTAAATATATAGTTAATTCATTCATTATCAAGTTAAAAGAAATCCAGTACAAACAAAAAACTTATCTTCTTTTTATGTTAAGAGATATCGATATCAAGACTGGTATTTAATTACTGTACAGGGCGGCTCTGCCCACTATAATTTCTGTTAAGTACACAGTGAGCAAATAAAGTAAAATGGACTGTTTTAAATGCAATTTGGTAGCAGATGGTGAGAAGAATGTATTTTTTTGTGACAGCTGTGAACGGGTCTTACATAGGGAGTGTTCTGGACTCTCTCCTACTGAAATTCGTGTAATGGATCTAAAAGGAAAAAGAATGTTAAAATTTTTCTGTTCTGAATGCCAAGAAGGGCTTTCCCGTGTGCCTAAAATGTACAAAATAATAGACAAGTTACAATCTGATATAGAAAGTTTTAAATGTCAATTAGATAAAGTTAGCCAGAAAAATGGTAACCACAATAATGACAGTGATAATTCAGAAGCCATGTATAGTGAAATTGCAGATAGAATAGATCGCGCTAGTAATATCATTGTATATAACGTACCAGAAAGTTCAAGTAGTGACTTACAGCAGAGAATTACTCATGATAAGTCACACACCTCCGACATACTAAAAAACTTAGATGTTAATGCATCTAGTTTTAAATCTATTCGTTTGGGACGTCTTGGAAACAGACCTAGGCCAATTAAGGTTATTTTTAATGAGGCAAGCTTAGCATCACAATGTTTAAAAAGAAAGAAGAACTTACAAAGTGATCACAATATTAGATTAGGAGCCGATCAGACAGTTATGCAACGGGATTATATCAAGAAGATTTATAAAGACCTAGACGAAAGAAAAGCTAAAGGAGAAAAGAATTTAATAGTCAAATTTATCAGAGGGATTCCGAAAATCGTAGTTAACATGAGGAACAACACTAACATCCAAACTCCAAAAAACTAAATTGCTATTTCCACAATGTGGGAGGAATACAAACTAAACTTAGAGAATTAAAATTAGTAATTGAAGTATGTATTTACGACATTATAATTTTAATTGAATCTTGGCTAACTTCCAATATCTCAATGGCTGAAATTAATATAACTAACTATTTGATATATAGGTGTGATCGCCAATCTGAAACAAAACAACGAGGTGGTGGAGTTTTGATAATGGTTCGTAAAGGAATCTGTAGTAGTAAAATTAACATAAATTACAAATTTAGGTCTAATTTCGAACAATTATTCATAAACATAATCCTTGGTAGATCAAAATATGTTATTGGTGCTGTTTATATTCCTCCTAAATCAAATGAAGAAATATATTTGGAACACACGCAATGTGTGGAAAACCTTCAAGCGTCCCTTCCAAATCACCAGTTTGCAATATGTGGTGATTACAATATGCCACAAGCAGTTTGGTTTAATGCAGATGGTGACTTTCATGCTGATTATCCTCAAGATTCTGCAGCAAGTATTGTTCATGAGTGTTTTAGCTTTCTCAATATGTTTCAAGTAAATATGTTACCTAATGAACGTGATGTATTCTTAGATTTGTGCTTTACACACTGTAAAGAGCTAAATGTCGTATCTGCTAAAGATCCTTTGTTACCAAATTCTCATCATCATGTTGCTTACAACTTTTCACTAATATGTGACAACGATAATTATTTAAAGTATGAAATATACTATCATGATTTCAGAAATGCTAATTTCTTACAATTAAACAATTTCTTGAGTTCTATAAATTGGAACGATGTTCTAAGCAGACACAACATTGATATTGCTCTTGAGCAATTCTATGACATAGTTTACACAGCTCTAAACTTGTATGTTCCTGTAAAAAAGTTCAGATCTAGTAATTTTCCATCTTGGTTTTCACCCTACCTTAAACAATTGACTATTAATAAAAAGATAGCCCACAAGCGATACAAACAAACTGAAAACTTAGTAGATTATCAATACTTTTCAGAAATTAGACAAGAATGCAAGACGATTAGCAATGAGTGTTATGAAAGGTACATTGAACGAATAAACAAAAATATAACAAATGATCCTTCTTCATTTTGGAAGCATGTAAATAATTTGAGAAATCAAACAAACTACCCTTCAAGTATGCATTTTAATGGAGAATTTAGCAATGACGGCTATTCTTCAGTGTGCCTTTTTGCTAAACACTTTTCTTCAGTATATTCTAGTGATATTCATGCTTCTCCAAATTACAGCAATGATAAAGCCATGGATCTGGACTATTTTCATATTTCTATTCAAGATGTTTTTAATGGCATATCTGAACTAAAGTCTAAAGTATCGTTTGGCCCTGATGGTATACCTGCAGTGTTCTTGAAGAATTGTGTTTGTACTCTTACACAACCCTTGCATCTGTTATACAATTTATCTTTAAAAACCTCAGTATTTCCAAGCTTCTGGAAGAACGGTTTTATAACTCCTATTTATAAGTCTGGGGACAGAGAAAATATATCAAATTACCGAGGAGTTTCAATTCAGTCTGAAATTCCAAAGTTATTTGATAAATTAATTTCTGTACAATTGGCCTGGTCAGCAAAACATATAATTGTTCAGGAACAGCATGGTTTCTCATTGGGCAAATCGACCTCAACAAATCTCTTATGTTACCAAAATCACATTTTGAATGCCTTTGAGAACAAGTTGCAATTTGATAGTATATACCTATACAGATTTTTCAAAAGCATTTGATAGAGTTAATCACAATTTATTAATAAGTAAACTTGAGTCTTTTGGGATACATAGAAGAATTTTGAATTGGATCAAAAGTTTCATATCGAATCGGGTGCAGTGCGTCAAAATTAATAATTTTGTATCAAACGCACTAAACGTTCCTTCTGGAGTACCACAGGGGTCCCATTGTGGACCAATTTTATTTAATCTTTTTATTAACGATATTGGTGAAGTATTTGATCACTCAAAATATCTCCTATTTGCCGACGATTTGAAAATATTTAAGTCAATAACAAACGATAAAGACTGTGATTTGTTGCAAGCTGATATAGATAGATTTTACAACTGGACCACACTTAATGCTCTTGACCTCAACACTTCTAAATGTTATGCCATGACCTTCTCTAGGAAAATAGCAACTTTTATTCATGATTACAAGGTTAACGGCAACATTCTAAAAAGGGTGAATGAGATCAAAGATCTCGGCGTTATTATGGATAAAGAATTAAACTTCAAGAATCATATCGAAAAACTAAAATCTACAGGGTTTAGGAATATCGGTTTTATAATTAGAAATAGTAAAGACCTATCTCTGAGCAATTTAAGACTTATTTATTCATCACTTGTTAGGTCAAGTCTTGAGTATGGATCTGTTGTGTGGTGTCCTTTTTATCAATGTGATATAAATATGTTAGAAAGAGTGCAGAAGAAATTTCTTAGACACTATGCTTATAGACTGGGTTATAGGTGGAGTGAAACAAACT